CGTTATCTTATATATTATTTATTATCCTATTACCTTAAATACATAATATGCTTATTAAAGGGGAGTGAGAAAGTGAAGATTAGTCATTGGGAGAAATAATATTGTTTATTTGCATTTTAGATTGGGAGGGAGATTATTTCCCGAGGAGAACCTCGTGTTCGCCTTTATTTTTCTACATAATAATATTTAGCTTCTATCACATCGACTTTTACTCCTGTCATAATGATACACTTAACGAGGCATAAGTGAGTTGCTTCATTTTTCGTTCTGATGGTTTTGAAGTTTTCTTAATAAACTGCATTTTACATGGTCCACCACCCAACCCACACACCATTTAAAAGAAAAACATGGCTAACCTGCTCTTCACAATTATGCAGAAGGCATTAGCTCAAAAGAGGTTTCTGAGTTCAATACGGTTTCAGTACAGCTTCTCTATGGAGCCTTGGTATGGTCTCTCTCTCTCTCTCTCTCTCATTTGCAGACAAACTTTTTATTTTATCTTATTAGTGTTTGTTGTTCACTACTAGCGTTAACACTTCATCTCAAGAATACATGCAGTTATTTATCTGAAGAAGTTATGAAGCTATGTTTGCACACAGCTTTGTTAAAGCTGCATAAACCATTCAATTAGAATTAGAGTCATCCACTTTAAAAAAAAAAAGATCNAAAAAAGAGAGAATAGAGTAATCCACTTCTCGCTGTCCTGTATCATTCAATGTTCAGTACATTCTCTGCGAACCAAATGCAGATTAGTAGTTAATGAAATAACTTGGGTCTACTCATAAGCATGCATCTTTAAATATCACCACGTTACTGTTGAATTCTAATGTGCACTTGATATTTTTTAAATATTCCCTTTGGAAAATTTATTCAAGGGGCAGTTACAAGTTTGGGATATCAGTTTCTATCCAGTTGGAAACTTCCATTGGTCTCAAACTTTTATGTACTAATTGATCAACTACATCTCTTGTTCTTTATTTCCCTTACTTTTAATTTCTGGTTTTACATTCTAGGTACGAATACAGCATAAATATTGTTGCTGACCAAGGTCTGAAGGCGCCCCTCTATACATCTGCACGCTTGAAAAAGGGAGAAGTACTGTATGTTGAGACTCTTTTCGGCAGGTAACAAAGAGGACTACTCATTTTTGAGTTTCAGAGGTTATCATATTTCTTTTACCTCTGTCAATGATTTAGTCACCTCTATCAAACTCGTTGTGGCAGTTGGCAAAACTGAAAAACCAAAAAAATTATCTCTCTTCTCATCCTCAAACAATTATTGCCATCTTTTTTCAGGTATGAACTTTGTTATGATGGAGAAGTGATTACAGCTACACCAGGACCATTTGGTTTGAATAGTGAAGGAAGTGTGGTTGATGTGTTCCGGTGGTCCCGTTGTAAGAGATACCTAACTCAGAAACATATGCTGAGTGTTGGGGTTCCACTATCCCTTGAATATGTAGAGGTAAATTTTTTTTTCTTTGGTTCTTTCCTCTTTTTTACTGATTAGTTGATCCTTGTCTCGGTTGATGTATGGTGAGATATAGAAAGTGGAAAGTTCATATTCCTCATAAGCAAGTGTTAATTATTTGATGGATAAATAATTAACTCCCTAGTGTTCGCGACGAACATTTACCAATCTCTCGATCTAGGTTTTTGCTCATTTCATGAAATCCTCTTATTTTAGCAACTGATTATCTTCTCTCAATCTCAAACCGGTCACATGTGCATAGAAACATCCGAAGCAATCAAAATTAAGGATCATGAAGAGAAATAAAGTGGAATGATTAAATTGATATCAAGTTAAGAAATAAATCCAAGTAAAATAACAAACCTAGAAATTAGAATTACTAAGCGTTTAGCCACAAATCATGGTCGCAAAACCAAAATAATCTAAAGATAATGTGAGTCTGATGTGTGGCACACCAATTAAACCCGGTTTTTATCTGCCTCTCAGCAACTATAACTCCGAATGCTCCACCCAAGAGATGAAATATTGGTATGGGTGCATAAAGTGACTGGAAATTAAATTAGGTTTTTACCTCTTTTAGACATATTTATACTCTTAAAGTACCTTTTCCAAATAATCTACCTAGATACAGCAAATCCCGCGTAACAAGGAAACCATTGTGATAGA